ACGTGGGCATTTCCGAGCCATTAGGCTCGGCCCACAAAAATGAAGACCCATTTGAACCCGTATAAACGGGTTCAGGGTTGTTTTTTTTCCTCCCGAAGGAGACTCGCCCTTCGGCGTAGCCTCCTTCGGGTTCCTCACCGTCCGTAGACAGAGAGGTAAAGCGAACCGTCGCTCAGAAAGTGAACGACAGACTATATTTAGTCGTCCCCACGAGGGCGTCATGTGGCACAAGGCCTTTTTAACGTGGGCATTCCTTGAGCCATTAGGGTTTCGGCCAAAAACAGTCAGTTCAGAGGTGAACGACCATTTGAACCCGTATAAACGGGTTCAGGGCCAATTTTGCCTCCCGAAGGTGACTCCGCCCTTCGGCGTAGCCTCCTTCTCCTTCAGGATCCTCGTTCATAGAGGTCGTCCGTAGACAGAGAGTCGAACCGAACCGTCGCTCAAAAAGTGAACGACAGACTATATTTAGTCGTCCCCCACGAGGGCGTCATGTGGCACAAGGCCTTTTTAGCGTGGGCATAATCGCCAAAAAATAAGCCCATTTGAACCGTATTGAAGGCCATTAGGCTCAGGAAGAGAGTTGAACCAAAAAACTGCCCAATTTGAACCCGTGGCACAATTTAAACGGGTTCAGGGCAAAAATAGCGGTATTACGGGTTCCTCCCGAAGGAGACTCCGCCCTTCGGCGTAGCCTCCTTCGGGTTCCTCCCGCCCGAAATTTGAGAGAGTTAAACCGAACCGTTCGCTCAGAAAGTGAGCGACCGACGATATTCAGTCACCCCCACGAGGGTGTCATGTGGCACAAGGCCTTTTAACGTGGAATTCCCGAGCCATTAGGCTCGGCCAAAAAATAGCCCATTTGAACCCGTATAAACGGGTTCTGGGCCAGTTTTACCTCCCGAAGGAGACTCCGCCCTTCGGCGTAGCCTCCTTCGGGTTCCCAAATTGAAAAAAAGCAGCCCGCCCGTAGCCTCCTTCGGGTTCCTCCCCGCTTCGTTGAAGAGAGTTGAACTGGAACAGTCTGTTCAAAAGTGAACGACCGACTCCCTTGCCTACTCCTGAGGCACAGTATTTATTAAGTATGGAATAGTCCATTATTATTATTATGGGTAATATCCCATAACAATATGTTTGATTTGAAAGAAATGGCACGGTGTGTCTGCTTTATTTCTTTATGTATTTTTCCAATTTTTGGATAAGGTGTAGAGTATTGTGCTCAAAGTAGTGGATAAACTGTCCAAAGTTCATATTTTGTTATTTTTGCTCAAGTACTTTCAACTGACACAGTCATTGTCAAGAATTGAGTTGTTGTCGATGCGTTAGTTAGAATTCTTTTATTATATAAATATAAATAAAAGAAAAATCAGAACACAAATTAAAATGGATCACATTCTTTTTGTGCTGCCTCATTCCCAAAGTCACGATAGACCATTTCCCAAGATCAGCTTCACAAAGAATATCAGGGTGCAGACAAAGATATTCTAACTATCATACAGACAGCACACTGGGTTCTTGATAATGACTGCGAAAGTCGAGAGTGCTTGAACAAAAATAACAAAATTTGAACTTCAGACTTTGTCAACTTTGACATATATAAAAAAATATAATAAAAAGTAGACTGACCTAAGTTTTTCAAAATTTTAAGTGAGAATTTTATTTAAATATTTCTTGTGATGTGTTAAATTCACGTATTCTATTTTACAAGTGTATTCAGTTTTTATGTCATGAACTAAGTATATAGTTCAATAATATAGTGTAATGTCTTAGTAGTAGTTTTTTTTTATAGGAATTTTTATGTACTGCGGATCGATAGTTTTTTATAAACATAAAACATTAGGCAGCATATAATTTACATACAAAGAAATAATCACACATAGAATCAATCAGAAGTATAGTCCGAATAATGTAAATAGTGTAAAATTCCTTTGTTTACCTATCGCTATTCTTTTGGTATTTGGAAGTTGGAAATGGCTTAAGTGTTACGTCATGTGCTGTTGGGAACGAAGCCGCATAATAAAGAACTTCATTTATTTATTTATGATATAACGATACATAATTTGTATAATTTTATATATGACCAAAATTATTTAGAAAAATATGACAAACTGGAAAGGTTTTTTTTTTTTTTGGAACGCGTTTTCTTTAATTATTTTATCTATATTTTTCATATACTATATACGCACATTAATCATCTCATTTGCACTTCAAGATACCGTCTCCTGTGGTGAATGATAATTTTATTTATCTTGACTGTTTATTTTGTATAATAATAGTTTCGAGGTTTTTGAGTCATCCCTTGCATTGTATGCTGTAAAGCATTTTGGTGTTATCCACTAATATTTCTCCCATGTTGATAGCTATATTTTGTTCGTTCATGCTAGTGGATGCATGGATTGCGCTCAGATTAGACAGATGGCAGGTAAATATGCGAGAGAGTGTGGTGTATACGTGCAATATGCAAGTATTTAACGATGTTTTTTTTTTATTAGTGTCGAAGATGCAATCTCCCAGCGGAACATGAGATTTCTTAGAAAACATTATTTTTACATGTGAATACCTTTCACTATTACTCCCACAAAGAAAGTTATAACTTAGGAATGCATCAAAAAATGTGAAAGTCTGTTAATGTCCTCTATATCCTTGGTGGTACCATGTGGGTTCCTCTGCACGCTTTGTGGGCTTCTGCTGATGTCTGTCGTCCGAGCAACTGACCCACGTGAATTCATACACAAAAAGAGATAATGGCTTTTTGCATCCCCACAAGCGAGTAAACATCCAAACAAAATTGATTAAAAAGAACCAACAATGTCTGTCTGTTTAATTTTTTATTGCATTTTTCAGTTTTCAATGTGGTGTCTGTGTGGTTGTTAGAAGTTTGCATCCTGGCTTTCGTTGGGAAACTGGAACTTTGAAATGGTTTAGCGTGACGTCATGCGTAAGGGCTGCTAGGAATGAAGCCCCACAAAAAAGATTGCTATTTATTTATTAAGATTTTAGAACGGACCGGAAACCCAAGCTAATCTTGAATTACCCTCCATGTGGTACTATGAAATGTACGAAATGCTAGGGCCAGGGCCACTTGACGTTATGTTGATACCTCGATCGTCTTTGTCAGCCTGTAAAATGTGTTCTTTATAGTCAGGCGTACGAGTGGACATAGGTCTTCCTCGATCCATAGGATCCTGCCTCAGCAACGCAGCGATAAACAGCAGCAAAGGTTGGATGACTCTGCTGCCTTCGACCTGGAAACGTAATCTGATACAACCAGACGCGCGGCCGTACGTAAAGATCATATCTGCCTTCTCACGATATGAATATTCTGCCATTGTTTCATCGAACAAATCTCAGTTAACTCACTAGGCATTAAATGTTGAAGAGAGACAAACTACAGATGTATACGAATGACAAATGTAACCTAGTCTACATGACAACACAGCGCCCTCTACCGCAAACTGTCGGAGTGCACATTTCTTTAATAATAAAAAATGAAATAAACGGTATCCACTAAAAATAACGTTTGAAGAAACGGACACACATACACATCTATCTATCTATCTATCTATATATATATATATATATATATATGTGTGTGTGTGTGTGTGTATTGTAGCAGAGGCCATATCCCCATATCTTTGTAGGATTTTTGCAGACATAACAATGAGTTTGTTTTCTCTCTTTCTCTTCTTCTTCTTCTTCTTCTCTCTCTCTCTATATATATATATATATATATAAATATATATATATATATATATATATATATATATATATATATATATATATATATATATATATATATTGTAGCATATCCCCATATCTTCATGATAGGATTTTCGCAGACATAACATCTAAGTTTGTTTTCTTCTTCTTCTTCTTCTTCTTCTTCTTCTTCTTCTTCTTCTTCTTCTTCTCTCTCTCTCTCCCTCTCTCTCTCTATATATATATATATGTATATACACGCACATATACAAAATAGAGAGAAATACACATTATTAAAACAGAAATGATAAATTGCAAGTGACATGTATAGATACGGAGAGAAAAATAAATTAAAATATTTATTTAATCAGGTGTACTGAAAACGTGAAGCAACTTTAACTTCAAACGCAGATTAACTGCAGTCCGGATATTCACCACGGCCCTTTCTGAGTAGTACAAATTTGAAGCCAATGAGTAGCAAAAAAAAAAAAATGGTGTACTTTGAATAAGACAGTGTGAGCTAGATGTTAGAATAAGAAATTCAATAATCTTCATCATTCCGAATAATTCTGGAAAGCATCCCAATAAAACGCAACCATAAAGTTCATAAAGGAAACCAGCATAATTTTGTTCAAAAATTGCTTTATCTACGAAAGAAAATGTCAACAATGTTTATACTCAGGATTATCCCATTAAGGGAATGACACTCGATGTTTTGAGTGCTTTGCGGTGGGATAATGATTAACAAGCTAGTCTGATCGAACATGACTACTACCTCGTGACGTAAATTGTCATTGTGATCTCTATACATGAGGCCTGGTTCCAAAATTAAGCTACACTGCGTACAACGTATAGCAACGCATATCGTTATTCTGATAAGAATAAAATATAAAAAAGAAAAGCTTATATTTGGGATAATCTATAAAGGAGTGAAGCCGTGACGTTTAGGAGATTAACAAATATTAAATACACCCATATTTTGCATAATCTATAAAACTGGGAACTTTTGATGTTTGGGTTATTTGAATGGATTGACTCGTTTTCTATGGATTATCAACACTTTGTAGGTCATTTAAAGTATAACATGGTCCTAGAGTGTAAGAAGTTTTTGGAGATAATAATGATTTAATGATAAGACTTTTATTAATTAACCCATAGCTGAGGAGAGAACAGGTGGATTTATACCTTTCCGAAGGATATTTGCACGTAAGTGAATATGACAGACTTAAATGAAACTGGAACTCGGGTCTCATATTAACAATTCCGAGACATTATCTATAACACCACCCACACTTCCAGTCATACAACGCCTGGTATTCCCAAGCGGTTACCAATTTAAGTACTAACCAAACTCTACGTTGCTTAACTTTGGTGATCGTATAGGAAACGTAAGCCCCTGTTATTTTGGGATTAAATTTGAAGCAGCTATCATTTAGGATAATCTCTTAATAAAATTCCACTTGATGTTCTGGAAATAATAAAATACTAAAAATGCTTGGGATTTGGGATTATCCATGAAGAGATTAAATACCAGAAATTATATAAGGGGTTATAATAAAAACCCATCTCTTTTCACTATAATTTTTCTTGCTTTACACGAATCAAACACTCACTTGACGTTTCACATCTGATCTTTGCTTGGCGATAGTAGAATTAGGGATAATGTTCGTGCGAATCTAAGTTTAAATTGACAAAATATAATACTTAGCATTTGAACTATATTGTTTTCATGGCAGCTGCTCGGATGACCTTTTTTACCTGGTGTTCAGATTACATATATTTAAGCGTGTTACTAGATTGACCAGAAGGTCTCACTGTTTCTCCAGAAACAGCATCATTAAGTCTTAAAAATACCATTTAGTTATTATTATGATTATTATTTGTGTAATAATAATAATAATAATAATAATAATAATAATAAGAAGAAGAAGAAGAAGAAGAAGAAGATTATTATTATTATTATTATTATTTCTGTATAGTAATCGGAGCTCTGGGTTTCTTGAGGAAAGGATTGGATAATTTTATTGAGAGTGTCCCAGGTAACATCAACATACAAGTTGTCCAAAAGATCGCCCTATTAGGAACATCCCATATACTAAGAAAAGTGGTATCAATTAAATGACAGTTCTCCTATTGGGCCTTAGGACCATAGTTTGGACCCAGCTCTACATGATATAAAGCAGAAAACATAATATACAGAAATAATAGTCAGTTATGTGCCATGCGTGATACACGATTAGGCGATCATTTATCTTTCGATACATGACTGATGAGGCAGATTTTTTTTTTCTCGCAGTAGGTTGCCATTTCTTTCTGGTAGACTAGTTGCCATTCAAGGCTATAAAACCCGGTCTGTCCTGCTATTTGCCCATAGCTGGGGGGAGAAGAAGAGGATTCATACCTTTCCCAAAGGTATTTAGCAATAGATTCAACTGGAATTCGGCTTCGAACTCGGCTCTCCAATTCCTCAATCCGAGCCGCTATCCATTATTCCGCCGCCTCTCCTCGCACGCAAATAATAATAATAATAATAATTGATAATAAAAATAATAATAATAATCTAATAATAATAATTATCTTCTTCTTCTTCTTCCTTTTCTTTCCATATTATTATTACACAAGTAATAATAATAATAATATTAGTAGTAGTAGTAGTAGTAATATTATTACACAGATAATCATAATAATAATATCTTCTTCTTATTATTATTATTTGTGTAATTATTATTATTATTTGTGTAATAATAAAGATGAATAATCATTATTATCACAAATAATAATAATAATAATAATTAATAATTATTTATTGCACAAGTAATATTATTATTATTATTATTATTAAATAATAATAATAGTAATAATAATAATCATCTTCTTCATCTTATTATTACACAAATAATAATAATATAATAATAATAATAATATTAAAATATTAATAATCTAATAATAATAATTATCTTCTTCTTCCTTTTCTTTCCATATTATTATTACACAAGTAATATTATTATTATTATTATTATTATTATTAGTAGTAGTAGTAATTACACAGATAATATTATGATATCTTCAGATAATCATATGAAGATATCTTATTATTATTATTTTGCACAAATAATAATAATAAATAATAATAATCATCTTCTTCATCTTATTATTATTACACAAATATTAATAATAATTAATAATAATAATAATAATAATAATTGAAATAGAAAAAATGTGAAATTGAAAACAAGAATAATACCAGTGGTAATAGGTGCACTTGGAAATAAAAATGGAACAAAACAACACATTGAAATAATAATAGTAAGAGACATACAGAAAATTGTCTTATTAATAATAAGGAGAATCTATAACGCTAGCAACTTCATCGGAAAAAAAAAAAAAAAAAAAAAAAAATTAACATGAAATTATTGGGTCTTTCCGCAAATTCGTTGAAATAATAATAATAATAATAATAATAATAATAATAATAAGAAGAAGAAGAAGAAGAAACAACATAAATAATATAGGAGATAATATATATATTCAAAATAAATTTAATATACCTTTTCCTTGAATTGGTTGTCATCATTAATGAGAAAGATGTGTTTGGGTGACCTGTAACAAGGCCATTTATATTTGGTTAGAGATTTTGGTGAGTTTCAGTCGGAAATCATCAAGATTTATTCATCGAAACTATTTTGACCTCCAGGCATTTATCGATCCCTTTTTTGAATGCCCAGAAATTTATCGACACCTTGGATAATCCAATGCTCCCGCCCCAGGTGTTGATATCGACCACATTGAAGGCTTCTGCTCTATAGGAAGACTTTCGGTGATATATTTCTGTTCGAGAGACCATACAGGGATAGGAAAAATCAGATCAAACGTTTGGACAAGGATTCTTTCTTTCTTTTTTTTTTCTAATTCGAGACGAAGTAGGAGTTAGGATATATCCAGATGTAGCTGCTGAAAATTCTCAAAATGGTTCTCGTTGCAACTATAAAGAACGGTATGCTTCCAAAAGAATCATTAATTTGTAAAGCCTAATTAGCAGAAAAGATTTTTGATCCTGAGACACTACGAACCACCATGCTCGAAAAAAAATGTAACTAAAACGAAAAGATAAACTAATAGGTAAAGTCGCTTATGGGAAAAGAAAGTAATATTAATTATCGAAAAACAAGATGGAGGATGAATTGCATATTTAAACAGAGAACAAAGAAGCACTTACGATAGCTACGACCCTTGAGACTAGTGGGGATTTCCCCTATCTTGTCTCACAAGGCGCCCGCTAGTTCGCGCTTCTAAGTATAATATAAAAGGACGGAATAAGCTCCCTCTTCCTCCCTTTTTTCGTTCTAAAATGCGGTAGACTTGTTCGTAGGCGCATTGAGATAGCGAAAGATGCCTTCCAAAAGCTAAGTAAAGTATTAAGAAATAGAAAAAAATCCTTAGAAAGAAAGAAAAGAGTACAGAACTGTTACGTAATATTTTTTCCTTCTATATATAAAGGATTCATGATCGATTCCTGTCAGTTTTTCTTAGCAGTTTCTCAATTTCACCTGGTTGTTTTTAATTTCACTGTTTAATAATAAAAAAAAAAAAGCAGGGATAGTCCAATTTTCCCTTCTGGGAAGACTTCGTTATTAGGTTGATGCAAAAATAATGACGTACTAATGTCGTTTTTTGACGTGTTTTTTAACGTCAAAAAACGACATTGTTACGTCATTATTTTTGCACCAACCTAATACTTAACCACGTGGTGCATCAGTTACCCGCCAACTAGATATTATCTCGCACGCACCTATAAATTTCACACACACACACGCCGGCGCGTGTGCAAGCACATTGTCTGACAGTAAAGCCTTAAATATTTTCTTCCTTTGCAGCAGTTTATTTTCTTTCCATTTGTATTGTTAATCGTTATATAAAGATATATATATATATATATATATATATATATATATATATATATATATATATATATATATATTTATTTTTATTACTATAAACGTTATTTTAAGGGGTACATGTATTTGAGTTTATTACCCCTGTTTTTTTAATTAAACATTGAAATCACTAACAACGGGTTTAAACTGAGAAATGCTACTTAAGAAAAAGTATGCCTCCGACAGGAATCGAACTTGCATCCCTTATATATAGGATGACTAGTATTACGTAAGAGTTCCGTCCTCGTTTCTTTGTTTTTAATGCAATTTTTGTTTCTTTTTACTTTACCTATCACGTTTCTTACTTAGCTTTTGGAAGGCATCTTCCGCTATTCCAATGCACTTTCTGCTTTAAGGGTCGCACTTACCGTCCTACGTTAAAACACTTCCCAGATATTTAAATTGTTGCACATGATTGATTTTGGTATCCCTAACTTGTAATTTGCATGTTGGACTGTCCCTTTTGCTAACAACTATGCATTCTGTCTTCTTTTTAAATTTTCTGATCTATCCTATTATTTAATGAATAAATGAGTACTTTTCTTAATACTTTGCTTAGATTTTCGAAGGCATCTTTCGTTATTCCAATGCGCTTTCGGCTTTAAGGGTCGCACTTTCCGTCCTCTGTTAAAACACTTCCCAGATATTTAAATTGTTGCACTTGCTGGATTTTGGTATCCCCAATTTGTAATTTGCATGTTGGACTGTTCCCTTTTGCTGACAACCATACAGTCTGACTTGTAATTGATGTGAATTCTTTCTTTTAGCTTTTTCACTAGTTTCTGTAGGTGTTCTTGAAGTTTCCTTTCTGCGTCTGTTACAAATATTGTATCCTTTGCATATCTAATGATGTTAACATTGTGGCCGGCAATAATGAATCCTGGTAGGACTTCTTATTTTCTCGGAATCCCTCGCTGTATAAGTTGAATAAATCATGTGAGAAGATACATTTTTGGGTTGCGTTCCGTGTCGTCACCAGACCCCCAACACTACTGCATAGATAATATTAACGAAAAAACAGTTTCTTTCTCTGACTTGTTTTAATACACGAGAGGGACAGACGTGGCTGCTTGTAATCTAAGAGACGGCGAGAGAACGCAAACCTCTCGTTGGCATAGCGTTCTTCCGCATGTCTTAGCCTGTGTCTCGAACCTGGGTGTGGGAAGCGCATTTTAAAGTTCCTTCTGCTATCAGTTGACTTCGTTCCGTTTTGGACTTTGTTGAGATGTTGAGTTTTTTTTTTTTTTTTTTTTTTAGCACAAAAAATTGGTTATTATAGATTCCAATAGAATAAATACGTTAATGTCTAACTTACATTTTTTTTTCTTTTGTCGATAAACTTTTCAATCCTTTGCTGTGAAAAAATGCTTGAACTCTTTTAAATTTTTCCGTGTTGAAATCGTTTCTTTCGCTGTTGCGATATTTATTTTTCAACGCAAGTTCTTTTTATCC